CTGGAATTTTCAGAAAAGTCCACTTTCATCTCTGTTTCCATAATGATGGCCATGTTCGCAGTGACTCCAAGCCAACTTATATGCAAAAAATAGATATGCGTATGAAATACAATTTTTTGGAACAAAAAAAAATGTCATTGATCGAAGTTAGTTGATTACTACTAGTCCCCATTTTGTGACTAACAAAATTTATCCTGTTTTCTCTTCAAAGGAATCGCCCACTCAGTTTGACTGACCTGCAGAGGGTCCTTCAGAGTAGTAGTTTACATGAAGGTCTGGTCTTTGAGAGAGGGGAAAATCTGGAGCACGGAGATGTGCTGCAGCTGATACCAACAGCAGTCAGACTTGTCACGGAGTGTGCCTCTCACGGGGACTGGATCATGCGCAGTCGCTGGCTCTCACATCTCGGAAAGAGCTTCACTTTCGCCCCTGGTTTGTGACTCTGTGCCCTACTCACTGCAGTAAAAACATTGCAATATTCGATCTACTGCCACACATATTCTTGTGCTACTCAACATCTGCATAATTTCAATTTGTACAGTAGTACCGTCTTCCCTGCAATGCATTACTCATCAAGACAGATTGGACAACATGCTTGTCTGGTTTTGTAGATCTGGCTTTGGTTCAAGTGGAAGCCGGAAACAGAGTTCTAAAGGCTGTTTTCAGTTGTCAACTCGCTGCCCAGGGCAAATCCCTTGCTGAACTGCTGCAACCGCAAAGCATCGGTAAAGTTTCCGTCAAATCATGTGTTAATTAAACAGTTTCATGTGTGGGACATTGCTGTCTGTATATTTTAAACCTACATTTAAAAATGTATTGTCTTTGAATAGTTTTCAAACCCATTTTCAGGATAATGTAAAAAACACTACCTGTATACTGGCATTACGACTAAATGAATACTGTTGATCAGTTTGAGTAATCTGATTGCATACACTAAGAATATACTTGGTCACTGACTTGCCACCATTGTTTTGTCTCTCTCTCCAGATGAGTACAGAATTCTGGTGGACATGCGCTGGAACAAGCAGTACTTGGACATTTTAGCCAACAAGTGTAACTTTGAGGATGAGAAAAGATATGTGGAGTTCATGGAGGAGCTGAATGCAGTTGCCAATAGGTCTACACTACATTATTATTATGCATTATGCAATTATTATGCATATTAACTAATCCAATGCCAGCTGTTTTTCTCAAATTGGCAGAGCAGCCATTTATGACCATTTTGACTACTTTTTGAAGGCTCAAAAGAAAATGGAGTTCTCCAGCTATATAAGCATGGAATCTAATAAAAGATTGCTTTAACCCTCTTCGTTCATCGGGGGGAAAAAGTACCAGATTTTCCGCACTATAAGGCGCTTCGGAGTATAGGGCGCACCCTCATTGAATGGCCTATTTTAAAACTGTTTTCTTGTACCGATATAGGGCACACTGCTTTATAAGGCGCATAGAATAGAAGCTACAATAGTGGCTGTGGTTGCTTTATGCATCCACGAAATGGAGCTACGCTAAAGGGAGGACAATACAATACAGCTTTATTTATATAGAGCCCTAGCTGTGGTTGCGTTATGCATCCAGTAGATGGCGCTATGCTAAAGGGAATACAATACCTCACCTCCCAACGTAGGGTCGCCGTACCACACCCACTCACACTGTGTGCGACCAAGATCTGATCAAAGCCATTCCTGGCATCGAGTGGTAATTTATCATACTGAAATCATTCCTACAGTCTCGATAGGAGGTGCACGAAGCACATTTATACGTTTTGGCACTAAATGAGTTAAACTTGTCATGTATTTCACATAATGGTGCAGATAATCCAGATACTACCATGGAAGGTAAAATGTATAGGGTTAAAAAGTTAGTATTGTAAATTGGACAATTTCAACATTTAATATCTGAATCATATGCTGGTTGTATATTTTGCCATATCAATTGTAAATCTTTTTATCCACGTTTCTGAGGTGATCTTTTGTGCAATTTACATACGGTATCAGTTGGTCTTTCTGCATGTGTAAGTTAAAGGGATTTTGAAACAAAAAAAAAAAAATGAGCTGTTTCTTTTCTTCTCATAATTTTTAATAGGATCACTCTACTGATTGACCGAGAAGAGAGAGCAGTAATTTGCAAGTTTGCTGTCAAACTCTCAGATCACAACTGCGCCCTGAGAATGGCCACAGGCTTCTCCAAAGGTCTGCACAGCAAGCTTACCCTTGTAATCCCTCGCAGTGCCTTATAAATTTAGGAATATAAGATGTCAAAATTGAAATGTATTGTACTTTGGTTATTCTCCCCATACAGGGACTGTGGACATTGGTCACCTTCCTCATCCAGTGCTGATACACCTACACACCTTCTTTGACCTGTGGAATTCCTTCACACTGCAGGCTATACAGGGCGGACAGACTTATATCCCAGACCATGTTATGTTTGAGGTCAAAACCCACGCTGCTCTAAATAATACCATTAAAATTACAAAAAAACAAATCCTTTGGTTGCTCAGGCATTATGTCCTTTCTCATGCACCTTTTCACGTCATTTTGCGTGCAGATCCTGCAGCTCCTGCAGTGGCTTGACCGTTTCTGGAACGTTTGCAACATGATGCCAGCAGATACTCAAGGGATCTCAGTGATGTCAATGCACTGGCAGTGGGTACAGAAGCACCTCATCCCCTGTCTGCCCCTGCTCTTGCTGGGAGATGCTGATGTCACATTCGAGTAAGCTACCTTTTTTATATGAAATTCGACAATTGTTACTTTTATTATTATCATTGTGTGAAGGCTGATGCCTACTCAAGTTTTTCTACACCTTCAACTTTATCATAGATTAGGGATGAAACATCCAATTTCCGAACCGCTTATCCTCGATTAAATATTAGACTTTATTCCTCACACTTTTTTGTCCTGTGACTCCCTCCACATTTTTCGATGGATGCTTGCAATTCCAAGAACATTAACATATTCTGAAATTGTTGCCCTTCCGGCCTTCCATTTTTCTCATACCAAATATTCATGGTTTTCCCCAAATGTCAGGTTTTCACCCTAAAATTCCCTATTTATTTCCAAAGGCACATTCAACATTTCACATTTACATAATTCCTTTTTAGTTCATTGGAAGGGTTTTCATATTTCCAAAATTCCCCCATAACAAAAATTTCAAATTTCTTACAGTAATTTTCCTAATTTTCACCAATTTTCTTAAGCAAAAAAAAATCACAAATTCAAAGTCTACATTTATTCACTGATTTGAATTCCATGTTATTCAGGGCTACTATTTTTCACATTCCATAAATTCCAGTATGGCAGCCATCTTGGACAGGGACATTAGGTAGACCAAAGATTCTTACCCCCAGACCTCCCCATTGTGGTGACCATTTTGGACAAGGACATCAGGCGCCGCCTGGATTCCCACCCCCAGGTGCCCCCATTGTGCCGGCCATCTTGGACAGGGACAGGAGGCACAGCCTAGATTCTCGCCTCCAGACCTCCCCAATGCGGTGCCCATCTTGGACAGAGATATTACCTTTAGATACTCTCAGATTCTCGCCCCGAAGTCCCTGCGGTATGACGGACATCTTGGACAGGGACATTATCTCCACCCAGGATTCTCCCTCCTAGGCCTGCTTTTGCAGTGGACATCACAAGGCACAGCCCGGATTCTCACCCTGAGGTGCCCCCTGTTTGCCGCCATCTTAGAAGACGACAGTAAGCGCAGCCCGGATTCTTTCCCCCCACATCCCCCCAGTGCAGCAGCCATCTTGGACAGGGGCATGAGGTACAGCCCGGATTCTCGACCCCAGGCCCTACCAGTGCGGCAGCTGTCTTGGACAGGGACATTCGATAGACTCGAGATTCTGGCCCCCAAAACCCCACAGTACGGTGGCCATCTTGGACATTGGATATTAGCTGCACCCGGATTCTCGCCCATACCCCCCCACCACCCCGATACCCCCCTGTGTGGTGGCCATCTTGGACAGGGACATAAGCTGCACCCAGATTCTAGGCCCTCCCAGTGTGGCGCTTATCTTGGACAGGGACATTGCCCTCGGGATTCTCACCCCTAAAATTCTTTTATGTCCTACATTTTTTGAATGATTCAATCTGTTCCACCTTCGACATGTTCTACTTGTTCCAAGTCATTGTATTTTGGTCTGTCAGTCAATATCATTCAATATTATTCTGTATCATTTTAATCATTCCCCAATTGTTTATCCAGCCTCACAGTCTTCACAGGGAATTTCTCCAGAAATTGCATTCTCTAGTTGTTATTAATTTTCTCCAGATGCTACCAAGAGCTAAGGGCAGTTGCAGGAACCATTCAGACTCTCCTGTCCACTCCAGTGTCTGTGGCTACAGCACTAAAAGGCATCCAGAGAACCCTGGGAAAATCTCTGCCTTTTAAGGTTGGAAACCCTGCATCAGAAATCATTTTCTAGCTACCCTATTTTTCTAACTCTTAAGTCGCTCTGGAGTGTATGTACGTTGCACCCAAAAAATAAAAATAAAAAATCGCTCCGGAGTATAAGTCACATTTTGGGCGAAATTTGTTAAATAAACAAACCCACAGACATTGCACGGTGACTACTGGCTAGCACATTCACCTCGCAGTACAGAAGTCACATATGGATTTGAATCTAGACTCCAGCCTTTCTGTGTGGAATTTGCACTTCTCCCTGTGCCTAATTAGACTTCAGCCTTTTTTTGTGAATACTCCAGATTCCTCCCACATTCTAAAAACATGCATGGTTGGATAATTAGAGACTCTAAATGGTGTTTTATATTTTTGCAATTGGCTGGCAAACAGTTCAGGGAGTACCTTGCCTCTTGCCCACAGAAAGCTGGATAGGCTCCAGCATGCCCGCGACCCAAGTGAGATTAAGTAGTAGAACAATAGAGCTCAAACTCAAAATCCCCATTCCTTAATTGTGTATGTGTGTGTGTGTTTTTGGAAATAGTGCACACTGCTTCAGTTCGACCGTTCTGTAACTCCCCAGTCAGCAAAATTGGTCTGGCCCAGCTCTGGGGCAGACACGGCATGTACACTCGGCCCACATACCTCAATGAATGACGGTCCTGCAGTGGCCCAGGTCTGGCATCCATGATCTGGGCCGCATTCAGCCCAGATCTGAGACGCATTGTAAAACCATATCTGGCCCTACTCCGGCCCGACGCTGGGCCAGAACAGGTTCCTGATATCAGCCTTAATTCAACCCCAACTAAGCCACATCTTTCATGAGCCATATTTGACCCACATTTTTAAAAAAAAAAGTCTCAAAAACAACTGTTATAAAAATAGGTTTATTGTCATAATTTGTGAACCTCACATATAACTCCACATGCACTGGACTGTTATAAAAATATGTTTATTGTCATACTTTGCGAACCTCACATATAACTCCACATCCACTGGAAAAATGCACTTTTCTTTATTTAACAGTGAACACAAAGTCCAAATTGGGATGCAGCTTCCTCTTGAACGGTATTTTTCTATCCATCAAATTGTTGCGCTCTCATGCCCTCTTTTCTTCTCATGCTCTCCTTCCTGTCACCATCCCGATCAGGAGCCAGATGTAGCCATCTTGTGATTGTGACATCAATTTCCTGGTCTGAGGCCCAAGATGTTAGGCTGTTAGGTCTCACAGCGGCTGTTAGAACTGTAAGAAAACAAGAATGGATAGTGTGTTAGGAAAACAAACATTTGTACATGTCATGAACAATGAATGGTCAGTAAAAATAACCCTTGAAATTTCTTATAAT